AACAGTGGAAGATACATTAAAGAAAATACTGGAGAACCATACTACTATCATGAACACTCTGGAATAGCATGGGGCAGTGATTGAGGAGAAGGGAAAGAAAGTAACGAAAATGAGAAAATACCAGGCTTCTAAGAAGTCAATTGACAAGCTCCGGAGAGAGGTGACCAAGATTGTAGGATCTCGAGATCTTCTATTTGAGATGTTGATTGGCCCAGCTCTTATATCACCATCAGCATCATCAGCTCCAGTAGCACCAGCTAGCCAATCGGAGGAGCTAGACCTGGCTGCCGACACTACCGAGGCAGTGCGCTAGATGTTCACCATCCCAGCCACTCCCAGAGTCGAGAATGATGAGATCCAGTTAGAGGAGACTGAGGACGGCGATACTGCTGTAGACACAAACATGTCCAAGGAGCCATATGGAGTTTTGTTCACTCTTGTCCTTCCTTTACTCTTACTTTGAAAGCATTGAGAACAATGCTTATTTTTATTTGGGTGGTGGAGTTTATTTGATCTTATTTAGAATCTGAATTTGGCATGTATTTAACTTGATACTATTTTCGTAGTTTCTTTGTCATTATGTATATATTCGCTCCTTTCTCTTGTGATATATATATATATTCTCTGTCTTCTTCCATTACGTACATTCATTCTACTTTCAATAGTTTTTGTTTTGTAGTTTCTTTATGTTTGTTTTCTTATTAGTTAGTGTTTAATTTAGTAGTTTCTTTTTTATTTTATAGCTTTTTTTTATTCTAGTAGATAATAAGCATTTTGTTTTCTTAATGCCACGGTTCTTCCCAAAGGTAGTTTTGTGTGTGAACCGGGTGACTCGTCCCAATGATAGATGACGTGACAACCTTCTTAAGGGAATGAACATGTTTTGTGTTTAGGTAATAATATTATAATAATGAATAAAAAGACATGATTAAGTCAAACTCGAATAGTCAAACATGATTTATTTGGCACCAACACATTTAACGACATGTTTATGGTTAGAGACATGGATTTTTAAAAAGAAATAGCTCTAGTTATTGACTTTGTGACTCTTGTGTTGACTTCAATACCATCGGGTGGTCTAATTGGACCATAGTGGTCTTCAATATCAAATGTGGTCATTATGGGCCCTCGACTCTATCCTTTTTAACAATCTAGTTGTGTTAGGAGTGAGATGCTTTGTTTCTAGCCCCAGTACTTGTGCGGAAGGTCTAGAATTTGCCCCAAATGTGATTTAAGGCGAAATCGTATGTTTTGCTTTGCTTGAGAAGTGATTGTAGGTTTTCCTTTACCAGTCTGATTTTTATGTTTCCTACCGATGATGTCATCCCTAGTCAACCCCTTCGAGCCTTTAGCCTTTCTCATTTGAAAACCATGCTACAAGTCTTTACCCATTCTATAGTGACCATCTCTTAGCACCCAAGCTTTTCTTAAAACTCAGGTGAAACAATTGGCTAAAAACGTAAGTTTGGGAGAGAGACGAGGAAATTGAAAAAGGTATCAAGGCAAAAAAAGATAAAAGAAATGACGAGAAGGAAAGGAAAAGAAAAGAAAAGAGCAAAAAAAAAAATGCAAAAAGTGAATAAATGAAACAATTGAAGGGATTCAAAGAAAGGCAATGATCCCAAACATGGAGAAATATGAATATAATGATCATGAGAATGATGTTAAGTCTCTCTATTCCCCCAAGGAAAAGAAAGTGCGTCAAGGAATAGACAAAGTATAAGTCGAGAATTGAAAGATGGAGTGCTTAAGGAAGGTGTAACTACTTATCCATATTCTATCAATCCCTAATCCAAAAGCCTTCATTACATCCCGAAATAAGATCTATTTGATTTTAAGCCGAGTGAGCTATATTAGTGGTGATTTACATGAGGGGCAAACTTGTGGTACCAGAAGTCGTACTTGTGATATTCTCTTGAGAGAGATGAGTGAACCTTTCGTAAATTTTTGAATTGAATGCTTAATTCTTAAGCGAGCTTGGCAAATGGAGAGTAGAGGAGGAGGAGTTTGGGATCCACCATGACCTACAAGATAGAACGAAAGTCCTTGATGAGCAAAGTCAACCCTTGATGCTCGAATGTCACATTATAGCTATATGTGCATAAATGTTTAACTTGTTGCCTTGTCAATAATGCATGAGTGGTGTGGGTAATTGTTGGTCCCATCTGAGGTGTGAATAGTTCAATTATGGCTAGTTGTAATGTCCCTTAACTTTTGGAGGTGGGAACTATTTTATTTTCTTGATGACAAGCAAAGTATTAAGTTTGGGGAGTTTATAAGTGAAAATTTTGACTACATATTAGTGCCTTTTAGCTTTTGTTTTAGTCTAAAAGCATTGAATTGTGTTCTCGAAACTGATAAATGTGCTAAATTGCAGGAATGTTGGAAGTTGGACTCCCGAGATAAAATCTGGTTAAAAAAGGAGTAATCTTAACTCAAGGCAATAAAAGACACAAAAACTACAGAGTGTAGACCACGAAATTTCATCTGCAGCCGCAAATGAAAAAGAAAAGCCCATCAGACTTTTTGGCAAATTGCGGACTGCATAAATATTGTGCGGGCGCAAAAGATAGGCTAGGAACAAACATCATAGAGGGTGCAAATTCTCAAGAGCCAAGTCCCTCAAGATTGCGGACCGCATAAGAATTGTATGACTGCAGAAGAAATGCCTTGCGGCCATTGAAGTATAGTTGAGGACTGCAGAAGACCAAGTTGCGGCCGTAGTGGTATATCTGCGGGCCGTACAAATAATGCCTCACGGCCGTAGTCAAGAATTGTGTGGCCGTAGAACCCCAACTCCTGCAAGATGAAGAATTCTGCGGACCGCACATGGAATTGTGCGGCTGCAGAACCTCCTGAGGGGCATTTTTCTTCAAAATTATCAGCTTTGTATAAATAAAAGAGTTTCACAAAATTAGGTTAAGTTTTGAATATTAAAAGTGTTGTAGCCGTTTCTATTTACCTCTTTTGGCAAATGTAGCTTATTTTGGTTCTTCAACATTGGATTTCTATCTTTTAATCTTTCAATATGAATTTTATTATCTTTTCTTCTTTGTTTTCTTCTACACCCATTATGAGTAGCTAGAATTTTACTAGGGTTGTGACCCAACCCTAGTGTATAAACTTAATGGGTAATTAATTTTATGCTTGTTTATGAATGAGTGTTTATTATTTAGCTTGATTCATGCTTCAATTGTAGAATCAATGGTTGCAAATATCGATTCATACCTATTTGACTTAGTTTCTTCTTGAGAAAGAGGGACCTAGTGTAGGTTAAATTAGCTAACAAGGAATTAGGTCAATTGAGAAATTGATTAACCCAATTAAATGGTTCAACCCAGATATAGTAACAACCCGATTTGAGCTCTTATCAATCGTTTTGGTAGATACCCATTTGGTCCTGAGAAAGCCAAATTGGGCAAAACCACTCTCTGACCTAGAGGTATTGAGTGGGTAACATAGTGTTGTGATCTATAATACACCTTAGTCAAGAAAAATAAGTATAAAAGTCTTTATCCCATTAGGCCGACACCTAGGTCATGGTCACATCCCTAGGCCTTTTATATATTTGGAAAACACCCAAAAATAATATTCTCTAGATCTATATCTTTAGATTTGCAGTTTTTAGCTTAATTTTAGAAGTACAAAAAAACCATATTTGTAGAAGTGTAATCTAGATACTTCACGTACTCATTCCGAATATACACTACTAACTCCCATCTTAACTCCATCTGGAATCGATCTCGACTCTTTGTTGGGTTTTATTATTCAAACGACCGTGTCATACCTCTTTAGAAGTGTGCATTTGGACTTGATCAAGTATCATGAATAGTAGCAATAAAATCCAAACACCCATTATTAATCATTCGACGTGCTTTTACATACGATATTATCTTTTCTTGAGTCACAAGAGTTATACCTTTTCACACTAAACATGGTTCTCCACGAAAATGAAAACGTATAAGTTTGGCATGACAATCAGCTGAAGCATACCATGACGCTAACCAATCCATACCCATAATCACATCAAAGTCCGAAATCGGCAACACTCATAGATCAACTATGTTATTCCAGTCCTGAATAAATATCTCACAGTCTCTATAGACTCTATCCACATATATAGTCTCACCCACATGGTCACCATGATATATAGGACATTAAGAGACTCAACTCCTCATCCAAAGTATATGGAAAAAGATGGAGATACATATGAATACGTAGAACCAGGATCAATAAGAGCGTAAGCTTCAAAAGAATTGATAGTGATAATAACTGTGACTATTACATTAGATGCCTTGGAATCCTATCTGGCCATAGCAAAGAACCTCGGCGGTCCAGACGTTCCCTGAGAAGCCTGTGCACCTTGTCGACCTTGTCCACGAGCAACTTGCAGAGCGACCCTAGCTGGTTGAGTTTGAGTCTGTGTACATGTAATAGTTCTCTACAGATGTGGAGTAGCATTGCTAGTAGCAGAATTTCATCTAGGATAATACTTCGCAATATGCCCTTTCTGACCACAAGTAAAACAAGCCCTATTTGCTCTAAAACAATGACCACTGTGATTTCTACCACATTTCGAACACCTCGGATGTTGACCTGAATGATATGAGCCATTATCCTTCCTCTGTATCTACTATTTCCCCTATCTAGCTGGATAAGTACTCCTAGAAGACTGCACTACTGACTTTAACTAAGTAGTTCTGGATTGCCCACGATTAAAACCACTCTTACCCCCATATGGAGCTCCACTAAACCCGTCGGCGCTACAAGTCTATTTGCTCTCTCGATTGGCCCTGTCCCACTCTTGATAGGAGTCATAATAGAGAGCAGTGTCAATTACCTCTTCGTAGGAATCGCCTCGAATATCCCTAACCACAATAATGATGCTCAAGCCCATCCACAAACCTTCTCACCTTTTCATGTTCATCTGCAACAAGAAAAGGCGCATAGCTGGCTAAGTCAGTGAACTTAGCCTCATGCTCCATAACTGTCATCGTGCCCTAGCGCAGTTTCTCAAAATGACGTCTCATGTTTTCTCGCTTGCTCAGTGGAAGGAACCTATCCATAAACATTATTGAAAACTCTGACCAAGTAATAGGTGGCAAACCTGCTTGTCTACCTCTCTGATCTGAATTCCACCATGACTCTGCAAATCCTAAAAATAGAAAAGTAGTAAACTCCCCCCATCGAGTTTCCTTCAGCGCTAATGTAGTTAGTATATTTTCACAATGCTGAATGAACTTCTGGGCCCCAATAGAAGCTTGTGTAACATCTAACTCTGGTGGCTTAAGATCCATGAAATTTTTAAGATCCTTAGACTGCCCAGTATTTGCAACTGGCTGAACGATCTGCTGAGGGGCCATCTGAGGAGCTGCAACATTCAGCAGAACTTGTGCTTGCACGTGTGAAGTGGATTGGGGAGCTGGAAGTCCATCCTCAGTAGGCACTAATGCCTCTAACACATTCAACAATTTCAATACTACGTCTGCAGGTAGGGTAACAGTAGGCACAACAGCTAGCACGAGTGGTGGAGCATCATGAACCACTAGTTCTTGCACTCGATCTGGCATGGTAGCTTGGGGTTGGCCTGCGTTCAAAACTTCAGGCTGAAAAGTGACCTGTCTACTAGTCTGAGCTCGATTTTGATAAGACCTTACCTGACCACCACCCCGGGAAGTACTCCGTCCAGCACCATATCCAGCGGATTAGGGTGTGCGTCTCCTAGCACACATACCCATGAACAAGACTCTATTAAACATTGTTCTATGACACGAAACTTAAAGCCTAGCCTATGATACCAACTTTGTCACGTGAATAAACTACTCCTAGATGTGATTGACACCCATACACAGCCTGCCATGCGAACCTCTTTCTCAAATGTTTAACCATTTACACAAACACTAGGAGAAAAATTAAGTGCAGACATAAAAGTATTATTAATAGTTAGAGACAAAATAATTATCACCCAATACCTTAGCCAATTGATAGAAAAACTAATAATCACTTAACTAATAGAACTATAGCCTAAATCCCACACTAAGACGATGGAGCATCTAACAGAGTAATGAGTTTAGCTTACGGGTATGCAAATCCCAAGGAAAAGAAATTAACTAACACGAACTAGATAAAGATGAAACGAAAGCCTCCACGAATGATATGGTGGCTGACCTCAACAATAAGATCCACTCGAATGAACTCGTCAGCCACTAGCTCTATCCCCTGCGATGGTATCTGCATAGAGATGCAGGTAAGGAGTGAGTTATAAATAAATATAATCGAGTAAGATCCTCGGCCCATCACTTTCAATATCTCTGAAACAAGTGTTAGAAAATACAAACATACCACAACAAGAACGATATGATAAATACGATAATTATATAATAACTAAATATATATGCATTAACAGAGTTAATAATACTTAACCAACAAGAGTACCCATATCTTAACACAGTACACACTAAGGACTAGTCACAATTGCAGTGAAATTGATTAACCAATACTTCTATAAGTCCACAACGGCACCACAATGCTTCAAATATATAATAGAGCATACACAATGCCCCAAATATATATCAAGAAGCATACACAATGCTCGGGTGATGTAAGAAGGCATGCATAATGCCCCAACATCATGGCTCACAACCATATCAAACTCAACATCATGGCTCATAGCTGTATCACGTCATCAAACAACTTATAAAATAATTTTTTTATATTTTTCATAAAATAATAATATTTGTGTCTAGTCTAAGACCACCGATTCTGCCAAACACACGCTTGTCTCACATGGACCATGAAGAGAAAACACATTTTCAAAATGGGTTTTAGAAAAAAATGCCTCAAAGCTTAAAGTCTCTTTTACGTTGCTAACGGGAAGTTCTCCAACATTGCAATGCCTACAACACCAACAGATCAACCTCCAATGACCTCAATCTATACAAAATATTGAATAATGCACTCTAATTAATCTAGTTGAATAATTTTCATAATCTCAGGACAAGTCAAAATTAAAGTCAACCCACGGTCCAATTACGAAAAATCTGTACCATATTAATTCTCAAACGAATCACCTTAGCGTGATATTTTTTTTTTTGGGTCAAAACAGTGCTTCTGAAACACCCACACAGTTCCGAAAACTGATTTCGTATGCTAGATATCTACTCCTATTTTATTATACAATTATACATGCAATCATCAATTTTCTTTCCATAGCATATTAACTTTTATATTTTATTCCAGTACCTTAGCTCATCATTGTTACCACTTATATTTTTGTCCCCTAATATTCGTATAATCATTATCAATGTATAATGTAATAAGTTAGTAGCCAACTTCCAGCAACAAAATCCTAAAGTAAATATGTTAATATATCACTAAACTTACGAATAAAAGAAATCAAACAGTAGCATACTTTTGATTTGAAATTTTGTTTCCAGATGCAGACATAAATGACTAGTTCTCATTAGAATTTTGAATCCTCTCTCTAATTCTACAAGCTACTTATCATATTCTAATCATTGTATACCTAGTAATTGCCCGTAACGACATAAACAATAACCATCTCTAATTCATCAATGTTGTCTGCACTCGTGTAAGGGATTAAAATATTACCTGATTGACAAGAAAAATTCCACACCGAGTTGGATAATTCAATCAATACTAGCCAATGACTTCTAGTTAGTTTCCGCCGTAAAACTAAATAACAATTCCTTCTCTGTGTGATGCTATTTTCAAGTGAACTAAGAAACCAAAATATGCATATTATGAATCCCTAAGTCAGATGTGTAGTAGCATATGGTTTGGGGCTCGAGCCCACTTTTTAACCTTTTAAATAATAACTAAAGTCACTTATTACTATTTCTTTTAATATGTAATTAGCCTACTAGCCACTTCATTATTAATCTATCTTATATATTATAATAAATTACTTTCAACTAGATTAGTGTTGACCCAATAGTTATAAATAAAATTAATTCTCTAAATCTCAAAATTAATTAAGTACATAAAATATTTTGGTTATTACATTCTTCCCCTCTTAAACAAGTGTTCATGCTCGAACAAATTAAAAAGTGTACCTCATATCTCAAACAACTGACTGTACTTGCTTCGCATGTCTACTTCGTATTCCTATGTGGCTTCCTCTATTGGAGGATTGCGCCAAAATACTTTCACTGAAGTAACCTTTTTTGACCTCAATTGTCGCACTTGCCTATCAAGAATAACTATCAGACCTTCTTCATAAGTTAAGTTCTCATCCAGCTTCACATCCTTAGGTTGAATCTTATGGCTATGATCACGAACATATCGTCTAAGTATAGACACATGAAACACATGATGTACCACAAATAACCTTGGAGGCAAAGCAAGTCTGTACGCCACCGATCTGATTCAATCTAAAATCTTATACAGACCAATATACCTCGGACTTAGCTTGCCTTTACGCCAGAATCTCATGACTCCTTTCATAGGGGACACCTTCAAAAGACTTTTACTCCTTTCATGAACTCCAAATCACGAACGCTCGTATCTGCAAAGGATTTTTGTCTACTTCTGTCCGAAGGCATTTTCGTATCAATGCAACTTTCTCCAACACATTCTGAACCTTATCTGGACATAATAGCTGTGTTTCACCATGTTCAAACCATCCAACTGGTGAACGACACTTACGAGCATATATATCCTCAAACAACGCCATTTATATACTCAATTGATAGTATTATAAAAAGGAAACTCTGCTAACGGCAACTGATTGTCCCAATGACCACCAAAATCAATCGCATAAGTTCTAAGCATGTCCTCCAATATCTGAATAACCCGTTTAGACTTTCCGTCTATCTGTGGATGAAAAACTGTGCTCAACTCAACCTGAGAACCCAATGACTTCTAAAAAGACTTCCAAAACTCAGTAATAAACTGTGCACCCTGATATAATATTATAGAAATAGACACACCATGGAGCTGAACTATCTCAAGAAGGTAAATATCTACTAATTGTTCTGTAGTGTAAGTAACTCGAACCGGTATAAAATGCGCAAAAATCGTGAGTCTATATATAATCACCCATACCGAATCATGGTTCTTAAAAGTACGTGGGAACCTAACTATGAAGTCCATAGTAATCCTTTCCCACTTCCACTCGGGGGTAATCAAATTCTGCATCACACCACCTGATTTTTAGTGCTCATATTTTACCTGCTGACAATTTAAGCAACTAATAACATGTTTCAAAATATCATACTTAATATCTTTCTGCCAGAGAAAACAAATTTAACTAAAGCATAAGAGCAAAATATCAAGTAAAATATAAAACAAGTGTTAACAAAGTCATTTAAGGCGTGTAAGGATACACTAACACAATTAAGTGTAGATCAAAAATGAGAATCTAGAACATGATATGACAATTCAATTAATGCATTGAAAGAGTCTAAGTAGCCTAAACTGGTTAAATACAACATATAAACCGTGTACCCACTCGTCACCTTGCGTACACGACTTGCACATAGCACAAATGACACAATAAATCCCACATCCTAAGGGGTAGTTCCCCCATACTAAGTTATGAAAGATACTTACCTCTAACAGACTAACTCAACCCTCGAAAATAGATTTCCCCTAAATTTCACAGCCACACGGCTCAAATCTTACCAGAATTGACTTAATATCATCAAATAATGCAAAGGAAAATAATTACAAGAGATAAAGCTATGATTTTTATACGTTTCCCAAAAAGTCAACAAAAGTCAACCTAGGGCTCGCCCAGTCAAAACCCGGGTCCAAAGGGTAGATTCCGACTACCCATAACCCAACGAGTTCGTATATGTGATTAGTTTCAAAATCCGAGTCGAAATCGACTTTCAAAACTCAAATACTTATTTTCAAAAACTTGACAAAGTTTCACAAATTTTCACTTTCATTCACATGATTTTGTTATTAAATCTAAGATATATTGATGAAATATAGTTTAAAATTAATTAGAGTCACTTACCCAATGTTTGTAGATGAAAATTCCCTCTCCAAATTGCCTCTTACGAAGTCTAGGGTTTTAAAATGTGATAAATGAGATGAAATCCCAACTTTTCCAACATTATGTTTAGTTGCAGATGTCGCAATTGCGAAGAAATGCTCGTAATTGCGAAACTGACAGGCTTAGGGAATTTTCCGCAATTATGAAGATGGGTTCGCAAATACGAACCATTTTCCCCTCGTAAAAGCGACAAAGTTGTCGCAAATACGAACCTATCCCAGGCCCAAATCAACATCAAAAATGCTACCCAGCCATCGTAATTGCTATCCCTGCGATTTGCTACTAAGGTCACAATTGTGACCCTGGTGTTAGCAAATGTGACACTAGAGGCACCAACACACTAGATTCTGTTTTTTTCAAGTCCAAAGCCTTCCAAAACATGTCTGAAACTCATCCGAGCCCCTGGAACTTCAAATCAATCAATCACACAAGTCTAATAACATCATACAAACTCACACACGTGGTCATAATACAAAACTAACATCTAGAACTAGGAATTGAACACCAAAATGTATGAATTTTAAGGTAAATTTCAAGACTTCTATAATTGCAACTAGGCATCTGAATCCTATTAATTCAACTCCAAATGATACAAAATTTTGCAGACAATGTCTAAATAGCATAATATACCTATTCCAAGTATCAAAATCAAATTCTAAACATGATAGCTAAATGTCAACTTATGGTCAAACCTTTCAACTTCAAATTGCCAAATTTTGGCAAAATAAGACAATTCAACCTACGGACTTTCGAAATCAATTTTGGGCATACGCCCAAGTCCAATATCACATTACGAAGCTATTTGAGCAATAAAAATACTGTTATGTGGTCATTTTCAAAAAAGTCAATGTTTGGTCAATATTTCTAACTTAAGCTTCTAAGTCAAGAATCAAAGGGTCCAAATCAACCCGAAATCTTCCCGGAACGAAACTAATCAACCACGTAAGTCATAAACTCATAAACATACATGTGTGCATCAAAATTGGAAACAAGGTGCAATTATACAAAACAACCGGTCGGGTCGTTACAATCCCCTTATTAATGCAGACGTTCATCCTCGAACATTTATAAGGACGTGCCTTAAAAGATGAATAGATGAGGATAACGACTCCGCATGTCATGCTCATTATCCCAGGTCACCTCCTCAACCAGATGACCCCTCCATTGAACCTTCATTGATGCAATGTTCTTTGATCTCAACTTCCGGACCTATTTGTCCAAGAAGCCACCGGCTCTTCAATATAAGTCAAATCATTGTCCAATTGGATTGTGATGAAGTCTAGAACATGAGGAAGTTAGCCATAATACTTCCGGAGCATAAAAACATAGAACATCAGATGAACCACAAATAAACTAGGTGGAAATGCAATCTTATAGGCCACCTCACCAATGCTCTCAAGAATCTCAAAAGGTCTGATATACATAGGGCTTAACTTGCCCTTCTTCTCGAACCTCATCACACCCTTCATAGGTGAATCCCGGAGTGAAACCCGTTCACCAACCATAAATGCTACATTAAGAACCTCAGATCAGCATAACTCATCTGTCTAGACTGGGTTATACAAAGTCAATCCTTAATAAACATGACTTTCTCCAAGGAATCCCAAACCAAATCTATGCCCAATAACTAAGCCTCTCCTAGCTTAACCCAATCAACTGGAGAATGACACCATCTCCCATATTGAGCCTCATAAGGAGCCATCTAAATACTGGATTGCTAGTTGCTGTTGTAGAAAATCTCCGCAAGCAGCAAGAACGGATCCCAAGAAACCCCAAAATCCATAGCACAGGCACGAAGCATATCCTTTAATATCTAAATGGTGCGCTCGGACTTTCCATTTGGGGTGAAATGTTGTACTCAAGTCAACCCGTGTGCCTAACTCATGCTACACAAATCTCCAAAAATATAGAGTAAACTGCGTACCTCGATCAGAGAAATAGATACTGGCACACCGTGGAGACAAACAATCTCGCGTAGATAAATCTGAGCTAGCTACTCGAAGAATAGGTGGTCACCACCGGAGTGAAATGAGCTAACTTGGTCAACCTATCCACAATCACCCATATAACGTCAAATTTCTTCTAAGTCTATGGGACCCCAACAACAAAGTTCATGGTTACACTTTCCCATTTCCACTCAGGTATCTCAAGTCTCTTAAGCAAATCGCCCGCCTCTAATGCTCAAACTTCACCTGCTGAGGATTTTGGGACCGAGCTACATACTCCAATATATCTTTCTTCACTCCTTAAGGATCAACTCACGTAGCCCATCTATATAGGGCACATATAATCAGCCCTAAATCTGCAATACACTGTCATCTTCGATACAAACCTCGTTGGCATCGGCGTGCTATATTGTTTCCTTAAGGACAAGCAAATAAGGGTCATCATAATGACGCTCTCTGATGCAATCATATAAAGAAGATCGAGAAACCACACAAGCAAGAACTCGACAGGGCTCCGTAACATTCAATCTGACAAACTAGTTGGCCAAGGCCTGAACATCTATGGGTAATGGCCTCTTTGCTGCTAGTAGATATGCAAAACTACCCATACTCTGCGTCTTTCGACTCAAGGCATCGACCATAACATTGGCTTTCCTAGCATGATATAGAATGGCGATATCATAGTCTTTAAGTAACTCGAACCATCTCCGCTATTGCAAGTTATGATCTTTCTATTTGAACATTATGCTTTAGACTCTGGTGATCAATATAGACCTCATAAGGGACACCGTACAAATAGTGTTGCCAAATCATCAAGGTATGAACAATAGCTTCCAATTTCAACTCGCGGACATTATAATTCTTCTCATGGACATGCAACAACCAAGACGCATATGCAATCACCCTACCGTCTTAGATTAACACTGCGCCAAGGCCAACATGGGATACATCACAATACATAGTGTATGACCTCGAACCTGTAGGCAATACCAACACTGGGGTTGTAGTCAAAGCAGACTTGAGCTTTTGAAAGCTTGCCTTACACTCCTCAGACCATATGAAAGGAGCACCCTTCTGGGTCAATTTGGTCATAGGTGCAACAATGGATGAGAAACCCTCTACGCAACGGCGATAATACCCAGCCAAATCAAGGGAACTCTGAATCTCAGTAACTGAAAACGATTAGGGCCAACTATAAACTAGTTTAATATTCTTTGGATCTTCTTTGATCCCCTCACTCAACACCATATGACCCAAAAATGTCACCAAATCAAGCAAGCCATAATTACCGCATTGAGAATATTGCATAAACTTCTTCTCTCTCAATGTCTGGAGCACGATCCTCAAATACTTCTCATGATCTTCTTGACTGTAGGAATACACAAGATGTGGTAAAAAACACAATGATGAATGGATCAAGATATGGCTAGAATACATTGTTCATCAGGTGCATAAATGTTGTTGGGGTGTCAGTCAACCCAAATGACATCACAAGGAACTCGTAGTGATCATACGATGTCTTAAAGGCAGTCTTTGGAATATCCAGATCTCAAATCCTTAGCTGATGATATCCTGATTGCAAATTAATATTTGAGAATACTCTGGCACCCTGTAGCTAATCAAATAACTCATCAATGCACGACAATGGGTACTTCTTCTTCACTATAACCTTGGTCAATTGCCTATAATCAATACACATGCACATAGAACCATCCTTTTTCTTCA